TCAAAGGATTGCACTTTTCTGAATATGCACAAAGTTTGCAGAAAGCATATCAAATTTAATTCTTGGTTAAATTGAGTATATTTAGGCAGATGATGTAGAAATGAATAGATTTTAGTATATGGCATCATCCATTTAGTCAAGTGAACTAGAAATCTTTTAGAATTACATGGAAGAGACAATTATATACCTCCATTATTTGCTTACCGGTAAATTAATATCTAAAAAAATAGTGAGTCGAATTGTATGACTTATTTGTGTAAATTGTTTATACTCTGCATTATCTTATCTTTGTCTTTTTCCTGAATCGCAAACAGACCAAAGATAGCAATTCACCATTGCCATCTGATCTAGGAAAAACCTCTTCTGGTACATCTGCAAGTTCTTTCCTCACACAGCACCCGGACAGTCGGAACTACGTAAATTCTCAACTTCTTGGTTTGGTTCCGACTTCTACTTCTTCATCTTGCATCTCTGCTCTCAGTTGGCTCTCATCCTCAGCGAACTCTCGACACACTTCTGATACCACGATCCTGAGTCACCCGCCCAAGAATCTCTCTGTTCTTGGGTCTAAATCTATTTGTGGTTCTGTCGTTACTCAATCGCCTACCACTGGTAGTAATTCAAAATTGCACACAGACTTCTTGGAAAACCAGTTCTTGCTTCCATTTTCAACCGCCACACTGCCTCTAGACCCGTTGGCACCGACGCTTTCTCTCTCCTTGAATGCCGTTCCGATTAAGAGCAACTTCCCAATTAATAATAACACCAATGATCCCCATACCTTAACTCTAAATGTTACCACACATATTTTAGACCGCGATAAGGATAGCAACGATGAAGGGCCCTCTATTGTCCACATGGAGGCTGCTGGTGACCTACACGATCTCGTTGAAGCCAAATCCAGCAGGAACGATTCATTTGCCCTCCCGGGAACCTATGTTAACCTTCCAAGTCTGTTAACTGCTCAGTCTGGATGGCATCCACAAAGGCTTAAGCAGTCTAGCAACACCCATTTGCCTTCTCCTCTGACTACAGCTAATCCATCTGTTGCCAAACGATCTACGGTATTCTCGGGGGAAATTTTAACAACGGCCCTATCCTCAGACTCTTCTCACAGTCTTTCGGAGTCGACAAGCATGAGACCATCAGCTGCTTTTGTCAATCCAGATGGCGTCATTGAGCACGATGATTTTGTTCGCTTTGAGCTAATGAAACAGCAGCAATTTGGCACTACTTTCACTTCTAATAGCAAAAATTTGGCAATCTCATGTACAACTATCGGTTCCGCAATCAGCACCAGTTCACCAGCAGTCAGTTCCACTTCTTGTTATGCAAATCTTTCACCTGCAAACGTCTCATTGGCTTGCGCACGGCCTGCTAGGCCACTGAGTTCGCTCTTTGAATCAGTTGATATCCCCTGTGATGCCGGGGCAACTTCTGCTGCTTTTGCATCTACAAAGACAATAACAGAAGCAATCAGACCTGAGGTAATCACAACATCTAGTTTCATCCCCTTAACTTCAGTTGGTGGCTACATACCTGGAAATGGCTTTTCTGGTCGAGCTTCATTGCCGGCCCAACTTGCTCCATTTTGTGCGATGGGAGTGTCGCCAGATACATCATCGATAAAAGTATCGACTGCTTCACCCACTAATTCAGGTGGGCAAGTGGCGAGTGCAGTTCACAACCAGATTGGGGATTTATTGTATAACCACCACACCTACCGACAACAGCAACAACATGAACAATTTATGTCTTCTTCAAATGCCTGGCTGATTGATATGCCAGATGAGGTAAGCTGTCGTTTAAATATAGGATAATTTTTA